TAAATGTTTATGAAAATTAATAAAATATAATTATAGAGAAAAAAAAAATAGTCCTCCTCCAAGAAAGACCAGAGAAGATGTCCCCGAGGGCACCAGAGATCGCTTAGTGTGGGTGAGCTGAACCAAACAGCTATCTTTACCCAGAGAGCAATCCTCATTGGATTTAATGTACGGGACTAAGTGTTGGGGTTTCATTAAAGAATAACAATGTGTCTGGCCAGCTCTGGTGGCCTAGTGGCAAGAAGCTGCACTGCAATCCAATAGGCGCATGGTTCCAATCCACCAGATGCTCTGCTGGAGAGGGAGGAACAATCTCCTCCTGTACCAGTCAGATCTGATTTGACGGTACACACAAAAAAATAATAAAATTTTTAAAAAAATGAAAAAAAAAAGAATAACAATTTGTCATGTCTTAGGTTTTATGCTTTGGCCAAAGTACAGAATGATGTCTAATTCCTGGCCCTTGGTATCCTTGACAGGTTCCTAAGCATTACAAAGGCAACAAACCGTGTCCAAAACTTGATTAATAAAAGTTTAACACAAATTTATTGTATTGCTTTTAGCTTTAAATATTCAATAATGTTGAAACTTGGTCTTGTTTATAAAGTGAGATTATTAAATATTCTGTGCATTAAAATGTCACCTCTGTTAAATAGTTATCTCATATTTTTAAAAATAAACCCAACTTGATTAATAGTAGAAAATATCTGTAGTTAGCTGTTTGCTCCTCTGTAGGCCCAACTTTCTGTACTTCACCCTACTATTGTAAGAAATACAGATCTGGGAGGACAGTGGAGGTGCAGCTGAAAGAATACTTGAATGTCATCAGGAGACTGTACATCAGGTAGAAACAGCCTGCTCCCCCGGTCCCTCTTACCCGTCCCGGTCGTGGCGGTATCGTGCCAAGTTCTTCTTGTGCAGAGAAATGCGCTTCATGTCAAGTCCCAAGATGCTGACACTCAGGAGGATTATGCCTGTGTCCAGAATGTTTCTTTTCCTAGAGAAGAACTTCCACCTCTGACTTTTCAGCCGACAGCCCTACATTTTAAAACGGTATTAGATACACAACACAATAAGGCCAGCTGAAGAAAACAGGCCAAAGAGAGTTCTAATAAAACACTAATAACTGTCACATGAAATGATGCTAGTCATCAGAGAAATGCAAAGGAGGGCATTGAGAGAACTCTAAACAGCCATTATAAAGGTCGTGAATTACTAAGAATCCCCATGCAGTGTCATCAAGTCACTTCGGGCTCATAGTCTACAGGACAGAGAACTGCCCACAAGTCACTACCTCTTGATGGGAGGATTAGTGAGGACTCTCCCTAACGAGGCGTTAACAGTCCTAGTTTCATTTCTAAATTAATAATCAAGTCTGAGAATAAAAAAATTACTTAAGATGCATTTTTTTTGCGAGTAATCACACTTGTTGTAATTGTGTACCGTCGAATCACAATCTGACTGGCACAGGAGGAGACTGCCCCTCCTACAGCAGAGAATCTGGTGGATTCGAACTACACACCTTCGGGATTGCAGCGCAGCTTTTTCCCACCAGGCTACCAGAGCTCCCCCAAATAATCATATTTTTAAATATTTGCTGTTTATCATACTTTTAATCTTGACATTACCTTATATAGCAAAATTGTACATAAAAGAATATTTTTGTGGACTCGAAAACTGAAAAAATGACTAGGTGGAAAGCTTGTCAGCACTTAACTGAATTTAGGCTTCTAGAAAGGACCAAAATGAGCTACAATTTGAGTAGAAGCTCCTCAAAGCAAATTTGATAACCTTTATGATTTCTTATAGGTAACATTTTCGGTTTACCTGGACAAAAGTGTAGTAACAGACTAGTAGGTAATAGAAGACTTGTGAGGTAATTGACCAGGCAAAGCTGTTCCTCGATATCTAAAGGGCAGTTAAGCTGTCCAGCTTCACAGAGGTGAAGAAAGCACCTGAGAATGACAACACCTGGAATCAAGAGTCGAAAAGGTTGGGCTTCTTCCCTTCAAACTCTCTGACATCATCTCAGCTGTTTTTACATCCTCAACTTCAAATTTTCCAAGTCTCGCTATTCCATGTAGGAATTTCCTCTGAAATGGTCTTGTATATCATAGAAGTTAAAGGTAAGTAAAACTGTTGGAGAAATACACTGATTTAACCAGTCAGTCCAGGGAGAGGATACACTGTTGGTCCCACGTAATAGGCAGGGTTAATGACTTTCTTTTCCAGTAGTTAAAAATTAAATGAGAATGGGAGAAAGGCTGCAGAGAGAAATAAATCATTGAGTTGTACTGATGAAACTTGATGTCTGAGAAGGAAATGATGACTGCCATGGGAGACGAGGGGGAAACTTAATTCTCGTCTCCACTTGGTTGGAACCAATTCATAGCTGACCCTCCAGCAGATTTGCAAAGGCTTAAATCACATGGGAAGAGATTACTCATCTTTCTTCCAAACCTCCTGCCTTTGAGTTGGAACCAAAATTCTTACTCATTAGGCCACCAGAGCTGTGAGATTAAATATAAGGGTGATAATTTCGCTTAGGTTATTTAAAAGATGTGTTTCAGAAATGTGTGAGTTTAGTGAAAATGCTTTCAGCCCTTTCAAATATAATTTACAAATTCAAGGCACTAATATTATTCCTTGAGTAAAAATAATACCATTAATATTCAAGTATTTGAGACAGCTAAACAGCTCTTCAGATTTTGTCCGGAAGGACAATGAAACTGTTGAAGGTTATAAAATCATAAATGGTCTTGTGAATATAAACTTTGCATAAAGCACAAAAATATTAAACCTCAGACGCACTCTGTATATGGGTAGAAACAAAAGGAACTTCTAATTTGTAGAGTTTGCTCAAGAATGAGGCAGTGAAAGAGCTAAGAGTTTACTCCTCTGTGGGTGATCTGTACTTTCTATTGTGGTTTGATCAAAAGGGGAGAATGTACAAGCAAACTCCCAAACTGAGGCCTGTGGCATGATTAAAATGGCTATCCCAGATTGAAACAAAGCTCCATTCTGAATGAAACTGTGGCTTGGTCTAAAATCTCTGCTGCTTTTGTTCTGGAAACAGCTTGATTGCTTGTATCCCACTAGGAGTCAGGGTCAAGGTTTTAGTCTGTATGTGAAATTGTTTATGAAAAGTTGTTTGGTGGTACGTTTTAGAAGCTTGATCCAAGAAGAATGTCTTAGTCAACATGTTCAAGATGGTTATGAAATACAGATTACGTTGTTAAGAATTGTAGTTTACAACCCCCTTGTAACTTTTTGTCATGTAGCAACATTGAGTTACACTAAAGGCTGCAGTTCAAATCCATGGGGGAAGGATGGGCAGTCTCCTTCTGTGTGATTAACGACTCTGAAGACCTGCCGAAGTTCAGCTGTGAGTCAGTTCCGACTCCATGGCACACAGGAACAACAGAGTGTGTAAGACGGGATCTCTGGTGGCCCAGGGGCAAGGAGTAGGGCTGCCAATCCGACGGCAGCTGACCTTCTGGTGGGCTCTCAGAGGCTGTGAATCGCACTGGGGAGACTGTCTACCCTTCTCCCATGAGCAGCTGGTGGCTTCAAATGATCAGAGAGGAGTACAACTCCCTACCCACCAGAGCTTCCAAACAAATAAGAATGCCAGGTTTTGTCTAAAGTTTTGATGAAATACTGACCATTACTATGAAATTTATGTATAACTTTTCATTTAAATGATACATTTTAATGATAGAAGGGAAAGAAATTGAGCTTTCTCCTGAGATAGCCACAGGATGGAGGCAGAAGAAAGAGGCCTACGTACCCATTCTGCTGGACTCCAAAATGAGGATTACAACACAGAACAGGTTCACGTTAGCATTGAAGACCACAAATTCTACAAAGAGGCTTTTGGTGTGTTGGTCCAGCCAGTTGCTCTGTTTAAGATGTTGTAAGACTCTGGAAAAAAGAGAGGAGAGACTAGGTCATCTCCTTCCAAGAGCTCCACAGAGGAGGATAATGCTCTGGTATTTTCAGTATCACTGTCACATACCAAGTAAAGAAGATTCATTACCAAGCTAATTTTCCTAGAAAATATGATCGGTGGCCTAGTGGTATTCCAAAGGCATGTGGTTCTTAGCCACCATGCTCTGCTGAGAAGGATGGGCAGTCTATCACAGTGTAATGAAGTGCCTCTGAGTAACTGCACTAGCTGTAGAAACTACTCAGAGGGGTTCTCAATTACTCCTGTCTTAAGATTAGAATCCCACCAGCCAATCCTCTCGTGCAGGACCCTTACCTGACTGCAGTACTGGCGTTTCTGCCCAGTCTCACAGCATAGCCTCCCCCTGAGTAGGTGGCAAATTCTCCTTGGATGGGAAAGCCACCCAAGATCTCCTGTTTCTGATAATGCCAAATGCTGTCCGCCTGTGTGATGTTCGTATCAGCGGCCCCCCAGTTAGCCCCATAATTTTCCGTATCTTCCTGATCTTGGTAAGATGACTTCATTTGTTCTTGGAGAGATACTCTGCTTGGGAAGAGTACAGCACCAGGAATCCGAATCTGACGAAGCAGAACATTGCCCAGAAGAAAGGCGTTTCCATCAGTAATAAATCCTAGGGGGACAGCACCGGGAACTGTGACAAACGGACCTCATCAAGTCAGTAACAAGACAAAGCCACACAGCTCTTCTTTTAAACTGTGATTTGATTTCAAGTTTACGAGGTAAATTTTCATACAATCATGCACACAAATTTTGTTCAAGAACATTAATTTCAGAATCCACTATATGATCAAGTATTATTGGCATGACAAGAGTCCAGAATAAGAGCTGCATAGTAAAGTGGTTGGAGGGTGGGGGGGTGGGTGATGTATAACAATGAAAGAACTTTATTCCCAAAGAAAAAAAGCAAACGGGGGGGAAGGAGGGGGCAGGGAGGAAAATGTGCAGCAATGAATGAATGGAAATCCAAGTTCTTTATAATTTTTCATTAAAATCTAAAAAAAACTGCACATAAGAGAAAAAAGGAAAAAGAAATGAGGTATATACACATTGAACAAAGCAAGTAAAACTATTATATTTGTAATAACTGAAACCTTTGAAACCCAGAATTTATGTAAGGCAGAAACCTGTCAGAGGAGGAAAATTTAAATATTTTCCATCCAAGAAAAAGTGACAGAAATGTGGTGATTGCACATTCAAAGGCAGAAAACGTGCAAGTCCTGGACTTTTTCACAGGTTTCACTGTGTAAACTTGGATAAATCAAGAAAATCAGCTTGAAAGCTGTTTCTTACAAAAAGAATTCAGGAAGGTGGTTAGGGACTAAATAAACATAAATTAATAGTAACAATGTGGACAAACAAAACTTACATAGATAAAAGAAATATTTTACAATAACTACATAATAGAGCAACCTCATAAGAGACATGCAAGACCATATGAATTTTAAATATTACATATAAAATAACAAATGGACAAACACACACGATGCCCCACATGGAAAGCAACATCTAAAGGAATTGATTTCCCAAATTTAAATGAATCTTTAACAACTCTTAGTCTACATCTATATATTTAAGTCTATTATCAACAACTATGTAAGCTTTTAGTTGTATTAGAAAGTGTCCACAAACAAAACTCAGTAGCCCAGAGAGATGAACAAAGAAAATGAACTGATAATCATTCATCGTCTCTCAATCATTACATCCAGTGATTTTCCGTCACAAACATCAAGTCCTGGTCTAGGTGCTACAAATGCAGTGTTGTTATGTGCCACTGGTTTAGAAGTGACTCATAGCTGACCCTCCAGCAGGTTTTTAGAAGGTATAAATTGAATTGGAAGAGACTGCCCATCTTTCTCCTGCAGAGTAGATGGTGGATTTGAACCACGTGTCTTTGGGTTGACAGTGTAGCTCCTTACCACTAGGCCACCAGTACTTAGGAATGCACTGCATTAGCAGATGATAGAGAGTCAGTGTCCGTGAGATTACAGTAGAGAAGAGGGAGTGACAGAGATTAACAAAAGTTATTCAGGTAATGATAACTATTTTGAAGAAAAAGACATAAGGAGATAAGTTTGATGGAAAGGTATCGCCGCTGTTAATTTAGGAATCATGACCGGAAAAAGCTGCTAGAAAGAAATGTCATGAGACCCTACTAAACGGTCAGAGCACACAAATTACATTGACTGTCCACCAGGGAAACAGCAAGTTAAAAGGCCTTGAGTCAAGCTTGGTGTAGTTAAGAAAAATTCATGCTTATGTAGCTTGAGAAAAGGGAGATAGAAGGTGAAATAATAGACGGATCTGAGGGCTGGACTGTATGGGTCCATTTGTGCTCTGGAAAGGATGTGAGAATTTAAGTATTATAAGAACACACAGGGATACATAACAAAGGATAACACAGATTTGTGGGTTTTGTTTCTTAGTAATGGGCAGGCTGGAATGAAAGGACAAGAGTAGAAACAAATGTTGCCCATATGAATGAGAGGGGTAACATGGAACTTAAACTCAGAAGCTGTGTTTCTCTCATGAATGCAGCTGAGAAGTCTTTCATTATTTCAGAACCACGTATACTGATTGAGGGAGCTCTGGTGGTCTAGGGGGTAAAAAGATGCACTGCCAACCCAAAGGCAGTTCAAATCCTCCAGCTTTTCTCAGGAGAAAGAAGGGAACTCTCCTTCCATGTGATTTACAGCCTTTGAAAACCTGATTCCTATCTAATGACAATGAATTTGAGGTTACTTTTTTAAATTGATTGAAAATATTGAAATGAAAGCGTTGTTTGAAATATTCACTAGGCTACTGGGGATACGGGCAGGCTCCCAACACCTTGCAAATGGGAACGTTACTTGGTTGTCCTCTGAAATGGAACTTGTTGTTGCTGCTGTTGTGAGGTGCCATCAAGTCACAGACGACTCATAGTGACCCTAGGAACGAAAGACCTGAACATTTGTATAACTTTCATTGTTTCTCCAAGTTCACAGGGTTTCTGGAGGCAAGCTATTTCTGACGAAATGCCACTCCTGCTTCAAAGCTTGTTTTAACTGGGGAGCTCCAGCAAACACTGTCCACCACGGGTAGCCATTATCGCATTTGACACATCAGTATCGCAGTGTTCAGCATCACAGAAACCCTGAGTTACCTCTGAACAGCAAATGGACAGACCAGTGCTATACCACTTAGAAGAATGTTTGACTAACAACAATTTAAACCAGGCCTGAGGGCCGCAGATTAAAATCACCCACTTTTGGCTTGATAGCATCACTTTCTAATAATTAATCTGCAGTGAGCTGATGATTTCTGCAAAAATTCCTAATCAAGCCAAATCTACCTTTAGAAAGAGATTAAAAGTTTGCTGAGAGAGCCTAGGAGATGACTCAAATTGCTTAAGGAAGCCACCAGTCCTGAAATATATGAAAGTAAAAATGTCTTTATCATTGTTTACTTAAAAGACTTAAAGTTATATAATGACAGAGTTTTGGCAGCTGGTGAAAATCACTGAACAAGAAACACTTTAGAAATTTTTCTACTGTTTCTCCAACACTGTCTAAACAATGGATACCCTAACTTCTTTTGATGGGGTGGTTCTGTGAGGGTAAAAACCATATTCTATTCATGTTTTTTTTTTATCATCAGCTCCAAACATAGTTCTCTTTATGCATGTTTGAATGCATGTTTGTGGAACTGAACTAGATAGTCAGGCAAGAAGTTACACAGGTGTGCTGAGATGCTTGCGGAAGACTGCACATCAGGTCAAAAATCTCATGTTAGCCTTTCTGTTTTCATCCTATTTCTAGTTCTGCTTTAATCCAACAACCTTCTCAGCTTCCCATAGTCCATTAATAAGGAGTTAATAGTCCCAGGGACCATTCCAGGCACTTTCCTTCATATAACGAGTAGATTCTCATTTGATTTATCAAATAACCTCTGAGTTACACACCAATGGGTATCAGATCCTTTGTGCTTGACTACTCTGTGTGAACAGACATCAACCGTTTGGATGAGGTCCAGGGGGAAGAGTAGGGTGCCCACAAAGATATGGTCCTATGGAAGACATTTCCCAATGCTCTAATGTGTAAGGGTAGGGGTATGTTGGGGTATCATGTATTCTGTATTTGCATAGACTAGACCCCAGGACTGTGTTCTTACCTCTGTAACCTCCATACAGGTTAGGAAGGAGGATGTTATTGGCCCAGGAGTAGAAATCTTTAAGAAGCTTGATCTCTGAGAAACGATTAGTAAAGCTCTTCTGGATGGCTTGATGGAGGTAAAATCTGTTAGAGTTCTTTGCAGAATAGATTGTAGTCATCAGCAAAATCAGGAAGAGAATTTGCACTGGCATGGGGGGAGGGTGCGGAAATCACAGTTGGGTGGTTATCTTCGTAATAGTCTATACTTGCCCCCTCCACTTTTCCTAAGCCTGTAGTCTTTTGCAGATCAAAAGGAAAAATAATAGTAAGAATAATGACAATCTCATAGGGCTCTACCTAGTAATTATAAACAAGTGAGTAAAAACACTTGTGTCCCAGTTAAATGGATATTCCTTCCTAGTATTATTCCGTCAATAAACGTAAATGTTACTCAAGATACATAAACTCCCACACAGAAAATACTGTTTAGTAGGTGTTTGTTCTTAGTAAGACATTTATGTGTATATGTAAACATAAAGGGATAGATATGTCTTTGACACACACACACACACACACACACACATATATATATATATATATACATACATACACACCTCTCTAAGGTACTCAGGAGCAACAGTGTCTCTCTGGAGACTAAGGTGCGCCTGATACAGGTCATGGTCTTTGCAATCGCTTGTTATGCATCAGAGAGTTGGACAATGACTAGGGAGGACAGGAGGAGAGTGGATGCTTTTGAGCTGTGGTACTGGAGAAGGGTACTGAATGTACAATGGACTGCCAGGAAAACAAACAGATTTATCTTGGAGAGGATTAAACCAAGCTACTCCCTGGAGGCAAGGATTCTGGGGCTTTGTCTGACATACTTGGGACATGTTGCCAGGAGGGACGGGTCCTTGGAGAGGGACATCATGCTTGGGAGGGTTGAAGGACAACGCAGGAGGGGAAGACCCTCTATGAGATGGATTGATTCAGTGACTGGGGTAATCGAGATGGGTGTGTCAGAGGCGGTGTGGTTGGCGCAGGGTAGAGTAGGGTTTAGGGCTGTTGTGCATAAGGTCGCTATGAGTCGGAAACGACTCGACGGCACATAACAACAACATATATATATATATACACACACACACACATATATACATATATATATACACACACACATATATATACACATATATATGTATATGTATGTGTATATATATATATATATATATATATGAACTGTAGTAGACCAAAGACACCTAACAATAACATACATGCACACAATCTGTGTTCACAAGGAGGGAAGACATGATGAAAACAGTTTGTCTTCTTCCTCTGGTTTATGAAACTCAAGAAATAAACATGCTAGAACTAGTCACCTTGCATTCACAGAACTAGTTTCATTTTCCCGCCGTCCTGTAGCGAGATGTGCTGCTAAAACCAGAGACTGTGCCTCTCGGGTGGTTCAAACCCAGCGCACGCTCCACAGGAGAGAGGTGAGCACTCTCTTCCCAGCAGTTTACAGCCTCGGAAGACTCACTGCAGGGTCCCGACTCAACGGCCAGGAGCTGGGGTTCGAGTGAAGTATGGCGATGCAGCACTGTGACTCTATTCTGAGGATGGAACAACTGACCGACTGACAGACACACAAGACTAGATGCTCAGGCTCCAAATCCAGGAGTCTCTCCACTCAACACACTCACTTGTTTACCGGTAGCTGCGAATTTCAGCAGGTGGAAGATTGTGGAAGAACCCTTTTCACCTCTCTCTAGTTGCTGTTTCACCCCCACTTTCCCTTTTCCCTGTGTGGAGTGTGCTGCAGTACCCACACGGGCCGATTCCTCTCCATACCCAAAATATCTCCGGTCAGTCTGAGGAGCTGCTTCTTTCTCAGCGTCCTCCTTGGAGGCAGGACTGGGCTGTTCATCGCTGGGGCCACGTAGATGGGGTTGTTCTTATCTCTGGTTCCAGGTAATGGTGCAGAGCATCCTGCTGCCAGAAATTCAAATGGAAGCCAGCGAAGTGTTACATTCCTTGGAGCAGTCAACCCATAAAACACTGAGTATCTACCATGAGTTCCTACGATAAACACTGAACAAACAAAATCCATTATTGAGAACTGTTTTAAAATCTTAATTTTAAATCTACTGAGCACTGGTACTTTGGTAAAATACAATAAAATCAGTCACTAGAAAAAGGAAATAAAATAGCAGCATATAGAATATTCTAAAAACCCAAAACCCAACAAAACAACTCACAGGCCCTTGAATTGGAACCAATTTATAGCTGACTCTTCAGTTGGTTTTCAGAGGCTGCAAACTGCATGGGAATTTGGTGCTGGTTCAATAGATACTTAAGGTCTGAATGCTGGAGGTCCCACCAGTTTCTATGAGACCAAAAGGCCTGTGCTTTTGTCTTTGAGTTTTGTTCCACCATTTCCCGTACTCCATCCAGGATCTTCCACTGTGATCCCTTTTAGGCAGTCACCAAGGCCACAATCGGTAAAGTAACATGTCAAGCACTTCGCAATTAGGCCTCCTTCTATTGCTGTTGTTGTTAGGTGCTGTTGAGTCGAGTACGACCACAGGGACTCCACGAATATCGTATCTGAACCCTCTCCTACCCTTTGCCATCCTCACACTTTCTGACGCACTGGAGCCCAGTGCAGTATGTCTCCTTATCTCCTGACTGCTGGTACCAAGGGTGCTGACTGTGGATCCAAGCAAGATGAAGTCATTAGCAGTTTTAACCCTTTCTCCATCTATCAACATACTGCCCACTGGCAAAGTGGTGAGGACCTTTGTCTTCTTGATGTTAAAATGCAATCCATATTGAAGGCTGTAATCTTTGCTCTTTTCAGCAAGTGCTTCAACTACCTGTCATGTTCTGCAAGCAAGGTTGCATCATCTGAATAGAGCAGGTTCTTAATGAATTATCCTCTGATCCCGATGCCATATTCTTCTTAATAAAGTCCGGTTTAATGAATTATTTGCTCAGCATACAGAATGAATAGGTATGGAGAAAGAATACAATCTTTATACACACTTTTCCCAATTTTAAACGGTCCAGTGTTTCCTTGTTCCATTCAGACAACAGCATCTTGCTCTAGGTAAAGATTTTGTGTGCGTACAATTAAGTGTTCTGCGATTCCCTGACTGACTTAAATAATATTTATGCCTCCATAAATTTATACATAAATTACAAAGAAACTCTTGGAAATAATAAACTGAGACTGCATTTCTGATTATACCAATACTGTAGATACTAGTTGAAGAATCTAGATAAGAAAATCAACAGAAAAGTAGTTGGAAAATAACACAAAATCTAGCACCAACCATGTATATGTGGCACTTGAGAGTGTTTTGAAGTATGAGTCAGCCTTCTTCAGATGGAAAAGAATACAAGTAATTTTGGCAAAGGAACACCAAAATCATGGAGGACTAAAGGTTATGAAGGGAGTTTGAAGTTAGATTATTACCATTTTTAATTTTTTTAAATCTTTTGAGAAATGGGACTCATATAATTTATAGTGTATCCATTATTTAAGACGACACTATAATTTACTCTTAGTCCCTTATGTACCTGTTCAAGGTGGTAATCATATTTGTGAACCTGGGATTTATTATTTCTAAGAATGTATTAGTGGAGGGAACAATATTCTTTAAGCAGAATGGGCACAGTTTTGCATTGTTAAAATATGGAGTTTTTGTTGGTTTGGGTTTTTTTCTATTGTGGCTTGAAGCCCCCTGCACCTGGTTTACTCTGGCCAGCACTGTGCTTCTGGGGTGGGTGTGTGTGATGCGAGTAGCTTTCATTCAACAATTCCTCAGTGGATACGCACCTGCAGACGTGGTGGCTGAGTGTGAGAAGCAGGAGAAGGAATAGTCTTGGTCTAGAATTTTTAGAGAACAGGATGAGAAGGTCTGGCAAAGAAGGAGATGCGTGAATTAAGCAAACGATTCCGTTTGGAGCCTGGTACCTTTAAAATGCCGTTAGGAACTCAGGTCCAGATGGTGAGCAAGTGAAATCCGAAAAGGAGGGTGAGAAAGAGCTCCAGGGTCAGCCAGGAGTTGAAGGTTTGAGGAGGAGAGTGAGGAGCTGAATTAGGGAGCAATGCAGGATGAGTGTTAGTGACATGGCGATGAGCAGAGGATGAGGGGTAACTCATTGATGAGAGACAAGATTCTCAATGGAGAAATCATTTGTCTCGCCAAGGAGATGGCTACGGTTCATTCCCCTGTTCCAGTACAGTTGTTAGCTTTCACCTCATTTGACACGAGTAGTTAAAGCTACCTGAGTTAGCCACGAGGGCCAAGATCCTCTTCATCTGTTGTTCCCTCTGCTTCCTAAGCCACGGCGTCCTGTTCAGCATCAGTGAGAAGAAGAATGAGAGGATGATCACCTAGACAGGGAAAGCGCAGGAGAACAAGTGTGCAGGAGGCCTAGGATCCAGGCAGGTGGCATCGTTCGGGAAGAGTCAAAGTGGGTACTCATCACAAATTCTGGGCTTTGAGGCTCTGTTCAACAGAACAAACAACCCTGTGTCCAAAAGAACAGAGCACTGCCCAATCCGTAGCCTTCCTCAAACCACCGCTGTGCTTGGGTCCACTGTTGGGACGTGCCAAGCCGTCTTGTGGTGGGTCTTTCATAACATGACTGTCTGAGGATATGTTAACTAGCTAACACTCTGCTGCTGGATACTTGAGTTAGTGCGCAGTTTAATAATAATTTGTAATAATTACGAGCCATTCTAGATTTTCTTAGAATAAATGCTTGGAAGTGAAACTAATCTGGTAAAGGGTTCACAGATTTGAAGGATTTTACTCTGTATTACCCAATTTCCTTTTCAGTACCAACAGTCCATTTTCTCTGGCATCACTGTATTATCACTTGCTTATTTCTGTTATGTTTAAAAACAAAAAAATAGGTTCTATTCTCATTTGACTAGTAAAAGTGAATTATTTTAAAATGTTTTTTCAGAGGTGTCATCACAAAATTGTTATTTGTTTCCATCTAAATATTTACATTTACTCTACATACAGTAGAAATCACTCTTTGGTATACAGCTCTGTAAGTAGTTGGTCAATTTTTTATTTGTGCTTCTCCCTAATCCTTTGATGCTACTTCTTCTAGCCTATCTATCCGTGCTAGGTTTCTTTCTTTTTTCCTTGCTAGGTTTTTTTCCTGTGAAAATTTTACACACATCCTTAACAAAGTTCGTTCTCTCTCATTTGTTCTCTCCCCCCTCCCCCAATAAATGATATGCTAAACTTTGGGTTAACAGCCCAACTCCCGATTGGACTATGTCAACAGAGCATGTTCTCTTCTTTCTATTCTTTTTGTCCCTTTCTCTCCCTATTCTTTTTAAACAAATTGTCAAAACCATTAGGCATCTTGGTCAGGCAAGTTTGGGTTAGTCTAGAGGGATATGAATATAAACCATTAAAGTTCACACTCATTCTTGGTGACTTGGAACAGCTGACACTCGAGCGAGTTTCCAGATGCTGTAAAATTCCCGGGGAGGAGACTGTCCAGCTTCCTCCCTAGATGCTGGTGAGTTTGAACCGCCCGAAGGCGCTCCTGTGAGTCAGCAGCACAGCTTCCTACGGACCAGGCCACCTGAGGTCCCCATAGACCATTATGCACCTTGGAACGATAGCCATGGACCTTGGTTTCTGAAGCCACCTGTTGCTCTAATGCCTCGCAGGCTGGTGTGACCTCGTACGTACCTTTGCCGGCTGGCTGATGAAGGTGTTCTGGAGCACTGAGAGTGCCAAGGAGATCACCCAGCTGGTGGCTTGCTCTTTGTTCAGTTCCAGGCTATAAAGTGCTGTGAAGTAGGCTGAGGCCAGACTAATGATACCCAGGAGGAGCCAGCAGGGATAAGCCAACCATCCACGCAGGCCGTTTAAGAGGGGCTGCTTCTCCTCCTCTGAGGTCAGGAGTGGGAAACTGGTCGTCTCCCTGAAGAACAAAGACTGAAGGAATAATGTCTGATGCAACAACTGAGGGCTCTACGAGAAAGCAAACCCAGGCCTTACCTGGACGGTCCTTGCTCCGTGGAAAGAATGTGTGTTTCCAAGATTTCCTGGAGCTTTTGCAGTTGGCTGGCTGCACTCAGGAAATCACAAGGCTGGTGGAGCTCGGTGGCACCCAGTGCGCCCAGCTGAGACTGCAGCCTCTGTAGAACCCGCCGCAGGTAACAGCAGAAGTGATGGTGGCTTTCAGGAACCACTGAAGAGACATTTTGAATGGACACTTTCACAAGGGAAGAGTTTAATAAACTGTAACTACAGGAAGACAAGAATTCATTAATTAATGATAAATTATTTCACAACTGGTGGAAAGTAGACTCAACACCTATAGTATCATGATCTTCTCTAGAATACTGGTAAATTAATAACAATTTGAAAATTTTTTTAAAATTTTATTTTATATTTTGTGTGTGTGTACCATCAAATCAGATCTGACTGGTACAGGAGGAGGACACTGCCCCTCCTTCTCCAGCAGAGCATCTGGTGGACTCGAACCGCGCGCCTCTGGGATTGCAGTGTAGCTTTTTGCCACTTAGGCCACCAGAGCTCCATAGAATTTGAAAATTTTTAAGCTGTGATGGACTGATCTTTTTGTAACACAACTTCCATATGTGTGACCTATAGTACGTAAGTATTTGAGGGTCCTAAAACTGTTTGAGAATCCAAGAATTGTATACATTTAGTTGTTCGTAGAATAAAAGAATGACAAGTTTCAGCAGCTTCCATCACAGCATGTGGAATGGAGGGATCAGATACAGAAAGCATTTGATAGTATATATAGTATTGTTTATAACACTGTGCTTTCTAAGGCTAGATAGATCATCTCAGAAGCCATCAGAGATCAAAGCTATATACTGATACATATATACATATATATACTGAAAGATTAAGGAAATGAGAACAAGCAGGTTTTATCACACCTGCTGGTTATGCTGAAGGGTAAGGACCAGTGAGAAAGTAAGCGTTGTAGAAGGCAATACAAGTCAGAAACCTCATGGACTTTACCATTTGTCCAAGTGGATCCTGTCTGCTGATGACAGCCTTGCATCTCTAACTGAGAATGAATAAGTTTGGACAAAAGTGTCACCAGCCTGTTAATGTTGTAAGAACTCCATGACAATTGTTCACATTCTGAAAGTAGATCTCTATTCCTTCTGAGCAGGAATCCCACAATTTCCTTTAATTCCTGAATGTAGAAGGAAGATGAAAAAAGTTAGTCTGCCTTTTTTTTTTCCTAACCCAGGACCTGCTGCAGTGATGGAAAAAGATTATTTTTTTAACTTGAAGGGGCATACTCTTAATAAAACATCCTTCATTTCCTTGCTGCTGTTTCCGCCCTCTAGCCATGGACTCTTAGAGTGAAAGAAGAAGGGGGTTTGATCAAATATTAAAAATGAAAACAATTCCATATACTGCACTGTGTCACACAGACACACTGCAACCTCTGAAAACTCTGTAATTGAGAGAAAAAAACCTCAAAACACAAGAGGCAGAGCTGACCACAACTCAGAGGATAAGAATTAGGAAACAAAACATGAAGGGTAGCAAAAATCAAAACCAGTTGTTGTAAAGTAGGTCCAAGTTCACAGTGGCCTCACGTGAGTTACTGTAGAACTGTTCATCATAGAGTTTTCGAGGCTGAGAATCTTTGACACAGATCGCCAGGCCTCTCTCTCTTCAGAGACACATTCTGGTCAGGAGTCAGGTTCTTACCCACTTGTGTTACCAAGAGACTATAAAGGTAAAAACAAACCTGGTGCTGTCAGTGGATTCCAACTCGCAGTGGCCCTTTCACTCTCTCATTGCCAGCAAGTGGAAACCAAGTCCTAACCGAGACCCTCGAGCAGGTTTTCCAGGCTGTGAGTCTCAGGGAGGGGCCTGCCCCTCTTCCCCTGGGGACTAGCTAGGGTCTGTCGATTAGCAGTGCAAATCTACACATCACCAGAGTCTCTCCGTGCCACCAGGACTCAGTGACCCTGCAGCAACTCGACACATCACCAGAG